TGTCCGATTAAGTTAAGCCTTTTTACGTTAATATTATATAATTAAGAAACTAATATTGTTCTTGTAAAGCCAGCTACACACTTTCATTTTTAAAGGTGTGTAGTCGGCTTAGAGGGAGAATGGTAGTAGGTTTATTTGGACGAATAGTTTCGACTAAATTAGCAACACGCTATTACTTGTTGCAAATAACACTTAGAATTCGGTGATATGATAGTAGGTTATTTTGTTTGAAGCTATAAGTAAACTTTATATAAACACTAGCTGTCTCCCGCGACTTCGTTCGCGCAGAATTATAAAAAAAACTTGATTAGTAGCCTATGTGTTCTTCCAGACTTTATTCTAAATGTATGCCAAATTTCATCGAGATCTGGTGAGCGGTGCCGGAGATACCTTTAAAGAAATATCCATCCATCTGAACGTTTGCATTTATAATATTAGTAAGAAGTAAGTTATGTTATTATGTAGATATATTGATGTGTAAAATTATATTTGGCATAAAAATAAGAACCACATTATCCTAATGGAAGATTAAAGACATCAATAAACTTATAAATAATTCGCTTACAAAGTTAAGATATAATAAAGTGAAAGTGCTTAGATTTACTTAAAATATGAATGTACTTATTAAACCTTTTATATTCTTAAAGGATAATCCATTTACAAAGATATACAATATTAAATGTACATTTTGATATAAATTTCGTACATCTTACTAATATTATAAAAGCGAATATATGGATGTTTGCTTAAGTGAACTGTTAAACAGGTCTCGTTGAAAAGTTGCATAGATATAGAACAGTCTTGTCGAGCGTCGGTGGCTCAGTGGTCAAGCACTTGACTTGCAATCTGCAGGTCCTGGGTTCGAATCCCGCCATGTACCAATGCGTTTTTCGATTTTCCGATTTACATATGTACATTTATCCGACGTTCTTACAGTGAAGGAAAACATCGTGATGCAACCTGCACATATCTGAGAAGTAATTCAAAGATATGTGTGAAGTCAACCAACCCGCACTTGGCCAGCGTGGTTGACTATGGCCTAATCACCCTTAACTAAGGGTAGGCTCCGAGCCCCTCGGTGGGGACGTATAGTGAGCTGATGATGATGAGTCTGGTCGAACACAGATGGAGTTACGGGCGACAACTATTTTTATATAAGTCAAGGGTTTTATGTGTGAATGCTAATTTAATGATTTAATTTATTCAATTCTTTAGTTTTTCTCTTCGATAGCTTTTATTACTTTCTACCTAGAAACATACATTTCCTTTTAATTTTATAAATACTAAACATCTTTATTTTTATTGGTGTTTTTCAATTGTTTTTGTTATTTACTTGTCTTTAGCTCCCTTCCACAAATGTCCAAATGACTAATTGCATTTATAATTCACAGCTAAAGTTTGTAAGATCGTTTAGTTATAACATTTCCATAAGATAATTCTGTATTCTAGCCGACCAGATGCGTTTACGTAGTCAAAGCGCTACTTACTATAAATAAAACTCTAGTTACGCCGCCTTCCCTCCATTATTCCTTATGTCCCGCATCCTACGAGGACGGTGTTCAACAGAAGGGTAACAATCTTTAAGTATTTTCTAGTACAAAAAGTCTATATAAACAAATTTATTTAAGAATTACACATCTTGCGCGTCTCCTCCGTCTATTAAAGGTAGGCACCGCATCTAGCAATAGCAGATATTTCTGTCCAGCGGTGGCTTCGCCATTTCGGCGAGTTTACATGGGCGCTTGCGTGTATGTCATTAATGAAAAATCTATTGCATTAAAATATTGATTTTCTTTCAATGCGAAAGCTTTTCCAGCCATTTTCACCCTTATATGCCCACTAGAACTCTACAGAATGAAGTTTACAATATTTCCATATAAAATAATTAACATAGGTTTTAAGGCGTAGCTTTTTAAAATGAAATAAATAAATGTCACATGTTGTTGAATGCTGTCCAACAAAACGTTCTCTCAGTTATCGGCGTGGGATCAGATTCTTATATTTTATGCGGCGTAACGTTACCCTTGATATCGCCATCTCAAGAATTAGGATTATATGCATATTATTAGGAGCAAAACGTTTTAAGCTCGTATTACAGACGCGTCTATTAGCCCGCGCCGCACGCACTGCACGCACGGATTGAATAGACTTTCATTGCCTTGATGCAATGCGGACGTGCGGATAATGGAAGCAGTGCTATGTAAAAACTGATGCGTGCCGTGCGTGCGGTGCGTCCGGCGCTGGCCAATATACGCGTATCTTGACAATCTGTACATCGTTTTGTGAATAATTCGACTTTTCAAAAATTTTTTTGTAATAATTACGATAATTAACTATGAACTAAGGTCTATAAAACTAAATACGGCACTTACTCGTAAATTATAATATAAGGACCGTATCGTAGTTATTGCAAATTAAGAAATTATCAATAACTGATTAGGTGAAATATAACATGGCAATATCGACTTGTTTATAGAGATGTCCAATTACATAATTTATACCGATAAACAGAACATCGACATCGATAAATGATTTTATTAGACGCTTTTAATAAATGTAAAGGTATGAAATTTTGTTAATCTTATAAATGTCTAGATGGATGGATGGATATTATCTCCAGAACAGCATAAGGAATTTCAATAAATTCAAATTTCAACGGACGCAATTGCGGGCGAAAGCTATTGACCAATAAATCATTGTATCGATAGATGGCGCTGTATACTGAAGTAGTAAACTTAATTTTAAACAGTAGCAATTGTGATTCCACTAGTTAGTTTTTTTCATATCGGTACTTGAAACATTGGTACATCACTATTTGCAAGTTAGTGAGGGGCTACGGTATATCGGCGTAAACTCAAACTTCACCAACGCAATATAAACAGCGATAGCGGCTCATCAAAAGATAATGAATTCTCGTAATATTTTTATTATTCAATTTATGTTATATGATGACATATTGTAGATATAACTAACATGAAACTACGCCAAAATTGATTATATTACTAATATTATAAATAACAGTGGTAGAGCACGCTTTAACATCTTCGCACGAATTGGCCCGGCTCGCCCGGTGTAATACCACGACCACACAGAAGACAGGCGTCAAGTGGAAGCAATTCCGCGTTTCGTCTGATGAGTGTGCGTCCCGGAGGCCTAATTTAGTCCACTTTCCCTTCCCACCTTTTTTCTTATAAGGAAAGGATGGGAAGTGGAAGTGGACTTTCCGGATGAGAGGATGCATGGAAAGGGAATATTTTCTTTCTGTGCATCCTCTCCTCAGTCGATTAAAGGTAGGCAACGCATATGCAATTGCGTATGTCTATGGGCAACGGTCACTTCGCGATATCAGCAATTTTAGGTGGCCGCTCGCTCGTTTGCCACCTTATGATATAAAAAAAAACTACGAAAGTTGGAATGGATGTTACAACGAAAAAATGATTACCACGTAACTCCGGAACGCTTTATCTTTTGATGTTTGGAACGAGGAAAACACTAAACAGTTTTTTGTTTCGTTTCACGTGAAACGAAGTGACGGGCTACAGCAATGATTTGTGCATAAATAAAATAAATAAATGATGATAAAATTGATTGAAAAATAAAAACAATTTAGTTTAAAAAATAATAACAACTTTATTTAGAACGAAAATATTTACAATATGTAATTTGTACATCAAACACGAAATAGTATTTACAAATAAGTGATATTTGATAAATTAACCATCAAAATTATATCCAATTAATAAAGGAATTTATAAAAGTATCTTAAACATAAAATACATTGGCGATAAATACATAAATTTTGTTAACATTGTAACATTTCTCAAAGCTTTAAAAGAATGAATAACTAAGGTTACTTACTACTAAATAAACATTACAGAAAAAAATCACGTTATCTGAGTAGCCGTGAGTTTCTGAAACAAAAATCTCTGTATAAAACGCATTGTCTTCTTTGCTTTCATTGACAAAATAGTGTTAGGACGAAAATCCGATATGCACCGGTGTATGGGCGCAACACTAGCCTTATTAAAATATCAACGTTTATGTCCCCTCACTAATCAAACTGACACTTCGTAACGAAAGCGCGTCATCGCGCCAAAGGATTCTAACTAATCTTATATATAAAATTCTCGTGTCACAATTTTCCTTCCCATACTCCTCCGAAACGGATTGACCGATTCTCACGAAATTTTGTGAGCATATTGAGTAGTTCTGAGAATCGGCCAACATTTATTTTTAATACCGCGCGGACGGAGTCGCGGGCGACAGCTAGTAATGTCTAAAAATAGATATAACAATATGTTTTGAACAGGGATAATGGTCTCAGAAAGCAACGGTAAGGCGAATAAATGTATGAAGTAAACTTATTATCTAATATCAGTACGTTAAGGAAATAGTTCATAGCCCATTTCAAATAATAGATTAAAAAGTAATATACATAAATATCGGCTATTTTTCAATTTTAGTTGGAATTAATAATTTCGTAAAAGCAGAGATTTATTATACTTTATACTACAGCGTCTGATTTTTATTTCTCTCATTTTAAATAAATCTCATAGAAATTTTTATTGAGAAGCAATACGACAAAAAAAAAATTAGTTTAATGTTACTTTCCCGCCATTATTGTTAATAATTGACAATAAGATGGTTTTAATAATTTTAATATTATTAAAAAATCAGGGGGGCAGGATTTCTTGATAAAATTGTGAACATAAAGTAGCGAGGATGTGGTTAAGTAGCAGGATTAAGAATTAAGTTTATCAATGTGAATTTAGTTTAAGGTTGGGTTCACACTGTCGCGCTCCTTTCCGCGCGACTCAACTTCAACAAAACTGCATAGCAACTATTCTGTTGATCCGTGCGGCACGCATTGGAATTATGAACGAAAAATGATTTGAAAAGTAATCTTTAGATTATCTTGCTTATATTTGTGCACAACGCACGGAGCCGCACATCCATGAGAACTTACACTAAATAGACATACTATACTAGGAATACTAAGTTGAGATGTTTCGCAACCGCACGTATATGTTTCTTGAGATAATCCTGTGTGGGAGGCATGTCCCTATCAGAAAAACCTAGGGCGGAAGAGTCGAGGGTCTGCGCGGTCAATAGGCTTGAGGTGTGCGGTGCGGGCGGGTGCTCCGTGATGGTAGATCCACTTTTTGCCCGCGTCTTTGCCTTCAGTGTGGTGATTCTCTCTACCATGGCGCCCGTGGCCGTCATGTCCGCCTGATGATTTGTGGCCCTGGAAGTATTGGTATGGAAATTTTTAAACACCAATTTTTAAATAAACTGTTTATCAGTAACTGAACTGACTGTTAATCGGAGATACGTCAAGAAGTAAAAGAATAATATGAAAGAAGAATTAATACGAGAACTGTCAATAGGAAAAGGAGACATATTTTTTCTCTCGTCTTCACAATCTGTTATATTGTCTACGGATGACGATCACTTGATATCAAGTGAAAGCGACCTTGTTTATCATATTTTTCTTTTAAAATGTACTGATTATACTGATATTTGACTTTTATAATAGTGTATGTTTGTTAGTAATTAAAATTATATGTAAATATACCTTGTTGTAATGCCCAAACCCGCCTTTGCTGTAGTGACCGGTGTCACCTTTTGTGTGCCCTTCGTGACCACTTTCGAGGTTTTCTTTTTTGAAGAGTCCGCCCTGTAAAAAGAAAATATTAATAACATTGTCTGTCGCCCGCGACTTCGCACGGGATTAAAAATATTTAGTAGCTCATCATTATCATCAGCTCACTATACGTCCCCGCCGATGAGCTCGGAGCCTACCCTAAGTTAAGTGTGATTAGGCCATAGTCAACCACGCTGGCCAAGTGCGGGTTGGTTGACTTCACACATATCTTTGAATTTCTTCTCAGATATGTGTAGGTTGCATCATGATGTTTTCCTTCACCGTAAGAACATCGGATAAATGTACATATGTAAATCGGAAAACACATTGGTACATGGCGGGATTCGAACCCAGGACCTGCAGATTGCAAGTCAAGTGCTTGACCACTGAGCCACCGAAGCTCCATTTAGTAGCTGATTTAGACCTACAAAAAATTAATATAAAACGTCATCAAAATCGGTCAAGCAGTTTCGACGTATGGTAACTAACATTGTGACACGAGAATTTAATATATAAGATTATTTGTGATACACCTACACCTACACCTTGCTATTACATAAAAATGATTTTAAATTACCAATATTTTTGTAATAAAACGTCTGAAAGGCAATAAATAAGCACAAAATTATTGACTAACTTCAACATCACGCAAGAACAAATTTCCTAGTAACCAGCTACGTGAGTAAAAGGCTTTTGTTGCACTTTTCAACATAGTTTAAAAGTCTAGACATTTAGCAACTTTATATGTCTGCTTGAAAGTACTAAGTTACGACAAACTAAATAAAACATCTTAAAGAAATTCAATACAACTTGTTGTTTTTAGTATTTAATTTTGAACATTGAAATTTCGTAAATTTTCTGTTACGATAATGTTCAAATATTTGTCAATTTCAAAATTTATTTGCCAATTTTGAAATTGACAAATAATTGGTAATAGCAATTTAAATAAAGTTTAATAATTTATCATAATATATTGTTATCTCTCTTTTGTAAAAGATGAGAGAAAGGGATAATGATATGCTTTGTACTGAGATTTTAGTGTCAGAAACCCATGGTTATTAACATCTGGTTACGCAAGCTAACTTGTAAAAAATCTGAAAAGGACTATGTCAGTGGTGCAAGGCTGAAGTGTGAAATCATTGACCTTAGCGTTATAAACGTGATATTAAAATAGGTTTATAGGCAATTTATGAAAGTACTGAGTAAGACAGATACGATATTATTTTTTTTAAATTAAAATGTCAAAGAATTAATTTTCTTCTCCACTCTTGTAGGAAATATACTTTCTCGACTGTTATAAATTAAAAAGTTACCTCCGCGTGACTCTTCTCGTCGTGATGGCCGCCATGTGTCTCTTCCTCATCATCGTCGCCTTCCTCTTCGAAGAATTCAACGTTCTTTTCATATTCCTCTTTCTTGTGGATATCGTGGCTGCCTTTTGTGCTGTGTCCTTTTGAGTGCTTGCCGGACTCTTCGTACTGAAAACAAAAATGAGCACATAGCCATATAAGTAAGAATTGCTTTAAAAGAACGTTTGAAATAAAGTAATCATAAGACCAAGTCGTATTTAGATGGCCTCTTTATACTTTAATAGAAATAAGGTAACCTTAGCGTGTTTCTTGCCATGCTCCTCATGGTGGTGGTGGCCGTAGTGTTGGGATTCGTCGTGGTGGTCCTTGTCGATGCCACCCTGATCGTCGTACTTTCCGATGTGGTTTTCCCGGTCGTGGTAGCCCTTCTTCGTCTTTGTATCTTCGTGTTTCCCCTATAACATTCGGATAGAGATTTAAATTAAGAATGAAATTTATTCATTTTAATAGTACACGAAAATGTAAATTGATTAATTAATCAATTGGTTAATTTATTAATTAACTGAGTAAATTATTAATTAATTGAATTAATTGATTGGTTAATAATTTTTAATCTCAATAAGCACATTTTTATTTATATTTTCTTAATTAATGACACATACATACAAATAATACAAACATATTGTTAAATTTACATAGTTTAACAAGATTTAAAGTACAAGAGCTAGAAAAGGAAAACACAAAATTAAAATCCTAATTTTTTTATATTATTTTTATATTGCAACAAATTACGTTAAAACAAAACACTATATAAATCAATGATTATAAAAAATATATATATATTTCATAATTCATGTCTGTGGGAGAAATGGTATTCTTGCGACGAACTTACGAGTACTATTGCTAGTAGGAAAATAAACTCTAAAACGTTGTAGTTAAGAACTATGTTTCCTTGTTGTCGCAATTCAAAACTTTTACCATATAACGTATCATCAATTACTTAAGATCTAATATAGAGTAATATTTAAAGTGATTATGAACTAAATTTAATAATTTACAACCGAAAACGGAGCTCGCGATCTCATTACGTTAGTTTGAAACGTAGTTTCTATAGAAACGTCAAAAGCAATTAAATAATTGCAAAACTTTGGCACTGGCACTACAAAAAAGGCAACGCGACTCGATGCTTCGAGGCATAATTTATATTTAAATGTGACATCTAGTGATGTACCTATCCTCAAGATGTTTATTACTAGAGTAAAATACGTAGTATTCAAGTACGTTATGAAAGCAAAAGTGCCTACAGCCATTGAGAAATTGAGCTCAAAAAAGAGTAAAAAAAATGCATATTACTTCTAATTATCAACGATCTTACATAAGTATACAGTGTATATAAAAACAAACAAGCTATTCATAAATAAGTGAAATATTTACGATAAATATTGCATTTACATTTGACAACCGCACAACACTAAAGCAGTACTATGAAATCTTGTTCGAGATTTCTCATTCACGCATTGTTGAGCTGTTGCTTAATTAAAACGACTGTACTGTGAACTCCCTGACCGCGCCACAATCGTACCAGCCTAATTTACTTGTAAACTTCGTCGTCGAATACTTTGACTATAAAGAAACGGACTAGGTATAGCCGTCGTTGTACTTTTTGACATTTCACGGGAGCTGACATTTACGCAAAAATAAAACGTTTTTATGAACGCATACTGCCTTGTTAATTAACACACAAAAAACAAGCATTTAATCAAGTGAATTTGTTTTTTGAAAGGGAAATTGTGCGTTTTACAGGTCCTGGCATTTAAAAGTCAAAGCCTGAGCCTCTACCATCCCCTAAAGTCCCTTACCGCAAAATCTCTCTTCCAATTTATTATTTAAAAATGAAATCATACGCATTTCATATTTTAACGTCTTTTATTATACTCTTTTAGAATTTTTACGCGTAAAGTTTTGAAAGAACATTAATAATTTAAAAGCTACGTTACCTTTCTCGAAATGTAGAATAATTAGATTTATATGTATTTCTTTTTGGACCTAAGTACAGTAACTTTTTAAAATATAATTATAGTGAAGTAAAATATTCATGCAAAATAAGTAAAAGCGATTAAACTTAATCTGTACTATTATGACAATTATTTACAAGTAAGTGTATAAGTAAGATAAAACACGAATAAAATGACATTTTCTAAAAATGAATCCTAGCTAGATCAATTTATCGCCCCCGAAACCCCCTTTATACTAAATTTTATGAAAATCGTTGGAGCCGATTCCGAGATTCCAATTATATATGTATATAAGAATTGCTCATTTAAAGATATAAGATTTTTAAGTCTTTTGTATGTCATTAAAGTTTTCATTAAAAAAAAGTAATTTACAATGTTACAGTGTAATACGAATTCATTCAACATCGTCCAAAGTCATACAAGAACAATAATATAAGTTCATCAACAAGTCAATTGTTTTGATAATATTCTTATTGTATTAATTTTGATCCAATGTTTGATCAAATGTTGGCATATTGGTCATTAGTTGACGATGTTGTGTTACGTCAACGATGTTCTGTCATTTATGACGTCACAATAAATTGTTTACTCCTTAGGGATTTGTGTCAATAAAATTTATACTGCATAAACTAGCTGTCACTCCCGATTTCGACCGCGCGAAAAAAAAAACCTTATAAGTAGTATATGTGTTCTTCTAGACTACGTTCTATGTCTATGCCAAATTTCTACGAAATCCGTTGAGCCGTTCTCGAGATATCTTAGAACAATCGTCCATCCTTATTAGTAAGAAGTAAGAGTTATAAATGGTATGTTTTAACCATTCAAATTGTAAAATAAGATTTTTTTTTAAATTAGCAGATTTTTTTGTAAATTTACTAATATTTCTTTAACCATTCCAAATAAGCTCTAAGCTTGCGCTAGGATATGGTTTACGACAATAGTCGAATGGCGGGATTCGAACCCCTGACCTCGTGATCGGAAATCCGTACCCTTAACCATTAAAATTATGTTCGTTCTTTTATTTTAAAGTTATATAATTTAGTATAGATAATTTTATGTTCTGATTGTTGTATAATATTTGAAACAGCAATAATTAAATTAAGGTAAAAGCGTATTGCATTGAAAGAAAGTTTAAAATAGTTGAATAGGTTAGCTGAGAAAGCGTTGAAAGAAAGCGTTCTTAATGGAGGTTAAATTTACTTCCATTATACAATTGAAACATTATTAACTGCGGTTAATTGTGTAATCAACAATTATTCAACTGATTTTCTTAGTAACAACCTTTGCCTTAGCCTATTAAAGTTAAACTAAAATAAATGATTTTATTAAATTAATTAATAAATGGAATATTATCAAGGTCCAAAAATAATACATCTTTCATTGTAAAGTTCTTACCAAGAGGCTTATAAATTAACTTTTTAGGTTACAACGATACAAGATTAAGTGACTTCTTAATTATTAATCAACAGCTTAATACTAATTAATGACAATTAATTAATAGTATAAATAGTTTAAATACTTGTTATAGTCATCATGTTCGATAGAATAGCGTACACAAGTTATTATTAGTTACGGACAGACAAATCTTACCGATATTGTAATATAAATACCAGTGAAGCAGATGTGAGAAATTTCCTCTCCGCAAGCCAGCGCACTCGTGCGGTGCAACCACCTTTTTGAATATCCTCAGTTAATGTAATCTTTATATCTTAATTATATACATAATATTAGCTTAAATAAAACCTTATATACAATTTAATGAATTCGTTACTGAAGTATATTACCATATGTAGCGCGTAAAATTTTTATGGGGTTAGCGGCCTAGTTTTAGGCCCGTCCCATCCATACAAATTAAAAAAGATGCTTCTTATTAGTGAACAGTAAAATTATATTGCAGATCCAGTGACGTGAGGGCGTTAGCAAAATTATATCTAAATATTCAATAGGTAATTTTCGCATAACATATTCTAGATTTTAAATTTGACTTTCATAGTAGATATATAAAACTGTGGGGGGCTAGTAGAGGTGACGGGAACGCGGGCGGTCGCTCGTTTTGATTAAAATAAAATGAGCATGTTAAGGAAAGCTTTGAATAACGAAATTCATAGATACGGCATTTGAAGCACATTGACCCAGTCTATTAATATGACATCTAATGCAATTTAAACGCCTGATGATTTGGATTTCATTACTACTTATCGGACAACTAATATTTTTTAATCTCAAGTTAACTGGAAGACAAATTATAATTTAAGTTCGCTTACAAACTACAAAATTCTGAATTTATTTTTAAATTATTTTCGCAAACACTATATTAATTAATTCGCGTTATACCGCGTCTATTCTTTCGTAGATCAAAGTAAGCAACAGCTAGCACGGGAGCTATAACGAAAGGGTTAATGTATGAATTACGGCTTCAATTATGCATTTTAATATTTGTCTCTCGATCCGCGAGTCCTGACAAAAAATTAACCTTGTTAAAACTTTATCAAAATAACTCTTTTAATATTTTAAACTTTCTTTGTATTTTTAATTCTTTTATTAAATGATGAAATATAATATAGAATTGTCCATTTTTACAAACATTCATAAATTTATCTGACGTTTTTACTGTTAACAGCCAAACATTTTATTTAAAACTAGCTGTCTTCTGCGACTCCGTCCGCGTAGAATGAAAAAAAAACACTTAATTAGTTCTCGGCAATTATTCGAATTTTTCTCTCATTTTAAACCTTCCCTAGGCCTTCACGAACATTTCAAGACCAAGATAAGATAAACCCTCCAGCCATTCTCGAGTTTTAGCGAGACTAACGTATAGTAATTGATTTTTATATATATATAGAGTGAAGTTGATCGTGTTATATTAACCCCTATCTTAATGTATTTAATCAATAATCTTATTAATCAATTCTATTCTTTTATTATATTCTAAAATCTCACTTATTGCTTAGAAATCTATATAAAATTATTATAGTAAAGATAACCTTACCTCGTATGCCTTCTTCCCATGCTCTCCATGTTCCTCCTCATGTGATGAGTAATGTTCCCTACCGTTACCTGTATATGCAAAAATAAACTATTAGTGTTAGTCTATTTTAGTACTTTAAGATATTAATTAATAATAAGTATAATAATTAATTTAAAAGGGAACTTTTGCAGTAAATACCTTTAGAGAACATTAATTTCTTCTCTCATTTGAGTCATTATTGTCTTTTAACGATAAACTACTCGAAAACAAAAGGGTTAGGAAAGAAAATTTCTATGCATTTATTTGTTACTTTTATCTAGATCTAGTTCAATACTATAAAATAATAATCAAAGTATAATTTGTTCGGCGTCTGCAGGACTGATACGGGTGAGTTGTCTCAAACTGTTACGTAATCACAAATACTGTGTCCATGACTTGTGGTTATTTGGATTATATTAAAGTACATTTTAACAGTTATTAATAATGCACAAATTACGCGAAAGGTAATGTAAAGAATGAGGTTGACTGAAATGTATAATGATTTGGATGACAAAAAAATGTTGCGATAACCCTATATAGAACAGGATCACGAAAGATGATTAATTAAAAAAAAAATAGTTTTAGTTGCATTTTTTAATTTTCCCATTCCCAGGAATTTTATTTTATTACTTTCATGTTTTCAAGTACATAAAACCTTTTTAAGTAATTATAGGCCAAAAGTTAGTAAGGCTCGAACATTTTTACAAACAGAATAAAGTAATTCTTTATTTGTTTGCGAGTATTCTATAAAAAAAGCATTTTACCAAAGAACTACGTAAAGGTAAAATGTTTAACTTTTATCAATAAAACTACTTTCTTATTATATTAAGTAACTAGCGTATTTGGGTGAGTTTGGGTTTCATTTAAAGATTATATATTTTTTTTAATATTTTGTACTTTTTTAATTTTGTCCTACAAATAATAAAAATATGCACACTCTAATTTACGTATGCTCATCTCCTTCTATTTGCTGAATTGGAAAGGCGTTGCATTTGAAATTGTTCAAGAAAAGAAATGCGTTTGTGATTTTATCTCTGTCTATTCGTTCGTAACACAAGCGTTTAGAGAAAAGTAAAACGTAATTTTCCTTTTCTCATACAACAGTTAACTTCGTGAGTTTACAATCTGCCTAGGGATAATATAAATCGTAAATTGTGATAGAAAAGAATCATAGACAATTGAATGATAAATAAACTCTTTGATAGTTTATGAATAGAAAACCAAAATATCACCTTTTTAATCTGTTTCATAATTAAACAAAAACGTCTGTCAATGGCTTCCAGAGTACATTAACATAAATTATTGCTTATTTCCACTAAAATGCTAGTCGATGGCGTACTTGTGAAGTTGTATTCTATTTCCAATGGTGTAGTTGCGAATGCTTTACAAAATCCGCGAGTGGCTAAAGTCGCGTGGCGTCTTGCTCAGTGGAAATATACATTAAACAAAACGAATTGATTTATTTCGGCGTCAACGATCCATGACTATTATTTGTTTATGACGGTTGAACGAAATTCGATCTGAATTGTTTGACTTTAACTATTTTTGTAAAAAAACAACCAACGCGATAACGCAATGGTTGGGTGATAAATACGGTTATTAGGTTCGATTCTCGATGCTTTTATTATAAATTATATCAAATTCAAATTCGTTACAATATGTTATAGAGAATTTTGAAGCTAATTTGCGAGAGATATCTGCTGTCTCTTTTTAGTTTAGATATTAAAAATAGATGAGCAATTATGATGATTACTAATCTTACATACAATCTATCATTTCTTCAATTAAAATTATATACTAGCTGTTGTCCGTGACTCCGTCCGCCCGGTTAAAAAAAATATAATGAGTAGTCTATGTGTCCTTCCAGGCTATGGTCCACATCTATGCTAAATTTCAGCGATATCCATACAGACGTTCTGGAGATAGTTTCAAACAAACATCGATCCATCCTTCCATCCAAACATACGCAATTATAATATTAGAAAGATTACTATTATATTGCTTTGACAAACTCTCGCTGAAAGTGATTCACACAAGTTCATTGACCTCTAGACAAACTAAATTGCATTTAAACCGCAAATTCATTTCGTTAGACAGTTCTAGATAGATATTATTAATGAAAAGGTGGAATTCATTTTAAATCACGTAAAATAATCAACCGAAATAAATAATGATTGTAAAAATAGTTCGATATATTTTTCAATTTATTATGAGACAGAAATTCGTTTTTAATTTTCTCTTTTGTAGCAAATAGACTTTAAATATGGCTTAATGTAATTAGGTAATAATCCGATAATCCCTTGCAGTTAAAACACTAAAAAAGTAATCCAACTATTTTTTTATTTTTGACCTATTAGTCGTTGCTGTATATTCAACCGTAAGAACTAAAGAAACTAACTAGAGTGACGCGGGAAAAGTTGGCCTTGGCCTCCGATAAGCTTCCACCATTCGCAATCCCACGCCTTCCTAACCCTGTCCCGGCCTTGTAGCGCCCGAACGTCTTCATCCTTAGGTACTATAGTAATTCTTGATTCTGTCAACCTTATTTGTATAGAGGGGTTGAGAGTGTCTGTATCTTGTTTCGATTGCACCATCACGTTTGTGAAACATCCAGATCTCAGTTCCGTAGTATCCGTGAAGGTTACTTTTTAACGCTATATCAATTTCCAATTCTCACAAATATTTTGTAACATGCAAAAATCCGTAACAAATCTGTTTCTGTATTCATTAACAGTTAGTAACGCTAGTTTTTCATTAATTTATTCTATAATACGTTTTCTCTTGGTAAAAAGATATGCAGTTTCGAATTAGAAATTCAACATAACATGGCTTCAATTTAGAGGGGCAGAGGCACAGCGCTGTCGCCTGCGTGTCCTATGTGTTCTTCCAGACTATGTTCTCTATGCCTTTTAGCAAGCGAAATACCTTGAAGTAAATATTCATCCATCCAAACATTCTCATTCATAATATGAGTAAGACATAACTTAGTATCATAATATTAATACGTGAAGCGAAAATTTGTATTCCTTTTTAAGGTAAGGTGTATTTATAAAACTGACACAATTAATGGAGAGAAGAACTTTACATATGTTTAATCAAAAAAATCGCTTAATCAGTTTAATCGCTTGGCACAGGACAGGAAAGGGTTCGCTGAGCTGACAGCCAACCTCCAGTAATGGAGAGGCATTGGAAGAAGAAGAAGAATCAAAAAAATTGTAATTTCTTTCATTACGAATTGCGGTGGAATTTCGACCAATGGGCGACCATTGCTTATAATTATAATTAAACCAAAAACAAATGCACGCGAAGTCGCAACATATTATGAATATGATAACATTTTTATTACATCTTAATATGTAAGCAATGTTAAACTAGGCATAGATAAAAACGGATGTAAGTTCCCACCTTTGTTTAGATGGTCTTATACAATTTCTGAGAAAATCAGACCATAAACTCCTATATTCTAATAGAATGTTTTTAAAATAAAGACTATGTACATATAAATAGATCAGTGGTTATTAATAACATAGATATATAA